CAAAAATATGTTATTTCACACGAAGAACATAGTCTATATTCTTACCAGACTTATAGCTAAATCTCTATAATCCTAACCTTATTTATTTAATAAGAAAAACGCATTTGAAACATAAACAAATGCAAGATAAGAATACGAGTCTATACAAGGTGTCCCATTTAACTTGAGACAACTAAATATTTCGAAAAATAAGCATTGTACGAAAAAATATCCCAAATAAACTTTTAATATTATCAAGGGGGACGTCTGCCTGTGTAAAAATTAACCCGCCCCACCGCCCCTTGGGGGTGGGGCAGGTGGCAACTTTGAAATTTTAAATGGGAACCCCCATTTTTTATTACAGATTCGGATTCCTTGGAAAAAAATACGTAAGTTTTGTCCGAGACATTTTTTCGAATCGTGGTAGATGGCGCTGTAATCAGTAAAAATTAGTTTTTGCCATTTTCTCTCACCATCGGGGTGCTATATTTCGATGAGTCCCCTCGCCTCTCACTATTCAATTACAATAAATGCTCGAAATGATGACCTTCTATTTCGATGCATTTATTAACTCGAGCTTGGAATGCTTGTACACATGTAGAAAGTGTATCTTGTTTTTTTCTGGACGCGTTCTTTATTTCAGCAAATAAATAATGGATTATTTATCTTTAGAGGAGAAAATTGAAATAATTTTGAAATAATTTTGAAAGTTGAAATAATTTTATGTTACCTTAAAGAAAAAGTGTATACAGAAGTACCAAATACTCGAGAAAACATGGTGGAACGTATTAGATATGCTTGCGTACAAATAACGCCAGATACACTTTCTACATGTGTACAAGCATTCCAAGCTCGAGTTAATAAATGCATCGAAATGGAAGGTCATCATTTCGAGCATTTATACGGTGCTTTCCATCTACAGCAGAAATAGTGACACAGTGTTACACAGTGTCGTATAGTGTCATGGTGCTTGTTGGAACGCAATCGATGCAGCTGAGACGCCATATTAACTAGGCCTGCAAGGTTATGAACGACAATATTTAAGTGTATTACAAATTTTAAGTGTATGTAAATATTCAATTCAATATTTCATATTCATTACAGATGTGGAAACGAAAGGTCGTATTTTGTTTAACAGAAACGTTATCGATACATAACAATGACTCCAGTTCTACTAGTGACAGTTCTTATTATGATGTGGACAGCACTACGACAAACGACAGTTTTTATATAGCGAAAATGATAGCTAA